TAGTTTGTGTGCTTATTTGGATTTATTATTTTTTTATTTACTAAAAATATAAGTTTCAACGCAATAGGTACCAATTTGTAATCTATTTTTACGTTTTAAATAAATTTAGTGATATTATATGTAATACCCAAGGTCAAAAATGACAAATAATGATAATAATAATAATTATAATCAAGTAACTACCAAAGCTTTGTTAGTATGGGTGGGGGTTAATTTCTAATTTCATCTAACAAAGGGCAGCTAAGTAATTTTTTGATACAGCACATTAGTCAAAAGGTGGGAGACTAGTGCACCGTATAAAGTCTTTGACATACCCTAGAATACATCCAATAAGTAGCCATTAGAGAGAGGAATTAGAAAAAGAAAAGGAAGAAGAGAAGGAAAAAGAAAAGGAGTTAGATCCATTACTCGTATAGATTCTTATCATATTGAGGAACAATGATCAGTATATAAATAGGTTTTATTATAAGTTATTAATTGTTGGTGTTATTAGATCTAATTTATATTTGTTGGTCTTGAGGCTTTTAAAAATTTAATCAATGTGTTAAAAAGAAAAAAAAACAAAGATAGAAAAAGGAAGAAAGTTGAGCAAGGGTGAAGCAGACGGAATCTCTAAAATTATAGAAACATCCCTTTTGATTTCAAAGAACTTTATTTTTACTCTTATAAATTTAATTTTAACCGCATTTTTACTAACATTCTAAAAATTTTATAGCAGTCCCTAAAATAGAAAATTCGTTTTCCAAAAGTAATTATACTTGAACTCCAAAAGTTTTAAAAATTATGATTTGACCCAAGGACTTTAAAAACTTTTTTTAAACTGCACAAGTTACTTTCATACCCTATTATCTCGTATTAAATAGGTTATTTCTATGTAAATGATGTATAAAGTATGTGTCAATTGGTTTTTTTTTATCATCATCTGTCAATGGGTAGAAAATACAAAAATTAAGTATAGAATCGCAAAATTACAAAGTCAGGAATAGTAATTGATCGTTACATGTTATCTTCGATTAGATGTTATCTTCGATTAGGTGTTGACTAAATTAAGATTGGAACAAAAGGTTTTGAATTGGAATATGGGAACTAAGGTGATAAGTTTACTACTTCTTTTGAGATAATTTTTTATATTAAATATGTATGGGTGTGTGTGGGATCGATATTTCATAGTTGTGCTATAAATATTGATGTTTGGGGTTGAAATCAAATATTTTACAACTAATTGCTTTCAATTGTGGGTGATTATTCAAGTGGACTTTGGAAAACAAATGGAATGACTTTATATCATTATTTAAATGTGTTTTGGTGATAAAATGGGAATTTTGTGTGTTGAAAAAAATGATGGTTTTGGGGTGTGTCAAAAGCGAGTGTTTATGATTTTGGAAAATATGTGGAATAACTTTATGTCATTGCTTAAGGGTGCTTTGGTGACAGCATGGAGAATTTGTGTGTATTGAAAAACAAATGATGGTTTTTTTTAGGGGGGGGGGGGGGGGGGGGGGGTGTGTGTTAAAAGCTTGTTTTATGAGACGAGAATTGGGTTACCAAATTTGAATGGTAAAAAGATTGAAGAGATACTGACATGACCAATATAGGGATGTGCACATAGAGGCCAGTTACTAGACTAGTAGTAGCAAACATGAGATGTGACCTAGCTATTGGGATAAAGTTAACAAATATATTTAAAATTGAGTGTGTGTGGCTGTTTGGGTTATAAATGTATTTTTATTTAGAGATATTTGTGAACATGTGATCATTTTGTTTAAATGATTATGTGAGATGGACCGGGGTACAATTTGTTTTACTTATGTAAGTATCAAAGTTTAGTTCTTGTATATAAACAATGAGACTTATTTTCACACCTCATTAGAGTTGGTTGCTACTCATGGACCGTCGTACTCATAAAAATATTTAATATTTTTCAGGTAAGGATCAGAGTGAGGAATAAATCTTGAGCCATACAAAGACTTAGAAGACTTGAAGATTTGTCTTAAGCAGGTCCTCATAAATAGGTGTTATTTATGGATTTGAGACAATGTATTTAATTATTTGAAAATGATGTTATTTAAATTTGGAGTTAGAAATCTTAGGGTTTGGACATGAAATTACTTGTGGTTTACTAAAGATGTTGGAAGCTTTTTTAGTTCATTTCTCTGGTATTCAGAAGATATGTGAATTAGATCACTTTATTATTTGTATTTTGCTGCATTTTGTATTTAATATGCATATGCATTGATTGGTTAAGACATCGGTGGCCGGTCCACCACCATCCTACGTGATTCGGGTGGGGGTGTGACATTATTGACCTCATTTAGAATTTGTATTAATTAGTATAAGTACCCAATCAATTAATTTATAGGCGGATTATGCAAGTTAATGGGTAATTAAAAAATAATTATCACCTCTACTAGCGTCCAATCTGGGGGCAAAAAATGGGATGGGGTTTATGTTTTAGAAATATTGCCTAATTTTTAGGTTAGACTTGGGCCGGACTTTTGAGTCGAGATGTTTGGATAAAATTTGAGATTGGGAATGTATTGGATTTATTAAAAAGGGCTTAGGGAGATTGGTACCTCTCTAAGGACTTAATAGGATAAAAGTCCACTTTTTAAAACAATTTAAACAAAAAGTCCATCTGCTAGCAAAAAGACAAAAACCTCCTTGAAGATGAGGAAGGTGAAGAGATCCCCAGTTTTGGGAAACAAAAGCATCGCTAGTTTGTTAGGCATCAATTACCAAGAAGCCATTAATGTCAGTTTTCAAACCCAACATTTAGTCGACGAAATTCCTAAAATTTTTGAATTTTAAAAATTTGCAGATTTCAATCCCTATCTTCCATATTTGTCCAATGAATTGTTGGGTTACAGTCGCCAGAATCTTGGATCCACCATATTTATAGAAGCAAAAAATACTGATATTCTTGCATTCGAGATCGTTTATATGGAGAACGAAGGAGAAATTGTTCGACGCTGATATAGTTTTTCGACAGTATTTGGGAAACACTTCACCGGAATCTTTGTGCTACTTCGACGAAATCTTTGGAAAGCTTTACTTTGTCTTCATTAGGTCATCTCTAGCGGTATTAATTTCAACTATTTAAACTTTCTTCCAATATTACTTGAAAAATCTGCAAAATAGAAAAGAGTAAGCCCTAATTTGATTGAGAAATTAAGAAATTCTCTATAATTAATGGAAAACGAATTTATTTAACATTAACAATTAGATTTTAAGAAATTTCACGTATTGTAGCATGGTGTTATAGTATAGTGTATCTCTATTGACAACTTGAAGCTTTTCGACGTTGGTTTGGGTTTTGGTCGTTGAAATCTTTATGTTACTCTTGGAAGTTTTATTTTGCTGGAATTATTGCGAAACTTTACTTCGGCTTCATTGGGTCATCACTAATTGGAAGAAATTCATCTATTTAATTTTTTTCTTCCTTGAAAAATCCCAAAACATAAAATACAATGCCCTAATTTGAATGCGAATTTCTTTAAATTTGCATTTTAATGTTAAATACATTCATTATCCATGAATTATAAGAGTTTCACTAATTATAGGCATGGTGTTACAAAATGGTGTATCTTTATTTAGATTTTGAAGCTCTTCGATGTTGATTTAGGTTTTTGGTCGCCGCAATCTTTCGATTGCTTTGGAAAGCTTTATTTAGATAGAATTATTGGGAATCTTTAGTTCAACTTCATTGGGTCATCTCCAACAAAAAGAAATTCAACTATTTTAATTTTTTTTCCCTTTAAAAATCACAAAACATAAAAAATATGTCCTAATTTGAGTGAGGTTGTGAAACTCTTATAATTTATGGAAAACAAATGTATTTAATATTAAGAATCAAATTTTAAGAAGTTTCACTAACTATAGACTTGGTGTTATAGTATGGTGTATCTCTATTGAGAATTTGAACATTTCTTGTGTCCAGTTAAAGATGTTAAAAAAATTATCCGTGACCATAGAGTGACACCATAAAGTGACAACCAATTATCATTGCTTGGGCATGACAAACTTTATAAAAAAATGGATTGTATCCGTGTAGATAAACCATGGATCAAGTATTGGAGGAAATTTATTCATTAATTATTTGAACTTGTCCTTTGTTTTTCTTGATTTGTGTTTATTCACTATTAACTATTTCATTCTTTTATAACATGTATAACTTTACATAGAACATGGCAAAAACATAGTCATCATCAACAAAAAAATATGAGTTCAAGCGTAAGGAAACAATCACATAACAAGAAACTAAACAATCTCAACAAAAAAGTGTAAAGAAGATTAGTCAAAGTAAAGCTTGCAAGAATGTAGATAATTATACGTGACAACGAGACATAAAGGCCCTAGGTCACAGTCTCCCTCGGTGACCCACTCATCTCCAATAAAGAAGAATCTAAACTTCCAGCTATGACAATTGGAAGGAAGTCTTGTGATGAACTTGCCTGACCTCAAGGCAAAACGACACCACCCTTGATGAGGAGAAGGATTATCTAGAAGCATGTACGTGGCCAAAAACTCCACGAAGGGGGGAGGGACATCAGCACTATGAACTAGCCGTCACAATGAGAAGAACGCTAGGATCACTCTCCACCCGTTGGGGGTCAACCTCCCAGGAGCCAACGATAGGTGTCCCAGAATCCGACATATGGGTCCAGGTATTGGGAAACTCAAAGCCGCCTCTAGGACATCCTAATAAAGGGCGATCTCTCCAAATGAGTCATGACATGCCGGCTTGTCCCCCTTGGCCCGACGAGATAAAACAGTAGGAGGAAAACGGAACGAGGAGACAATGCGGAAAATATCATCATCACGATCTATTGAACAAAAAATGGAGATTACCTTAGAAACTGTCACCTTCAGCAATCCTCTTGCCTTGCTGTTAGTCTCGTGTAGCTTCCTTCAACATGCCTCTGTTAGAATGAGCGCCTGCCAAAAAAATAGAATCGATGTCAAGAAAGACTCGATATCAGGTTAATTCCGGAGCCAGAAAGTTAAGTGGCCACCTCACCTTGGGAAATTTCATCGTTGTGGCTGCCCAAATCGTCACAAATAGTGCCCAACCTACAACGTCCGCCTGGCATGCCCAGCGCATGCCTAGCATTATCTAATGGTCCCAGCATACATGCGCCGCCCCTAGTGGAGCCAATCTCTCTATTGACGTCGCCCATGGATTGGGTCACTCTAGCTCCACCTCGGCTGCTCCTCAGCTTCTTCGGCCCTCCATGCCCATTCGACCCATAAATGTCACCCAATGGTTGGGTCCAACCAGAGGTGTTGCCTCTTGAAACACCAAAGGAGCTGAAGGCGTCGCCCAACACCTAGGTTGAAGCAACAGGAAATAGTGACAATAAATTAATACAAAATACAAACACTATGAACAAAAGATCCTTAAAAAAATGGGAAACATGAAATATTATGTTTGATCCCTATGATGGTGCTTTATATGTTTTTTGTTGTGTAAAGAGTTACAAAATATAGTGATAGGAAATAGTGACAACATATACAGTTCCAAAATAGTAGCATTAAACAGTAGCCCCATATAGAGTCTCACCAAATATATAAGCTAAAACAATTGAACATTAATAAAATTGTTCTTCAAGCCCAAAAATTGAAACCTTAAATTACATTTCAAAACTTGTCAAGTCAAAGTTTGCAAATATGCAATAAATTTTCAACATTCTTAAAGTACAGATATATGCAATATATGCAGTTACTCTTTGTCTCCATATTTTGTCTTCAATTTCTTTCGTTCATTGAAATCTTCTTCCGTCCAAGATTTGGGATGGTTTAGGAGTAGTCCAATCATTTTTGATTGAAAATGTTTCATCTGTGTTGCTGTTAATTTTTCTTGTATTTCTTTGCCAGGTGCTATTTTCCTCATTATGTAACAAACATATAGGCCACAATCGACACTACATTATATGTATTTTTTTAGTATCAATATGTGTATTTATTCATTCATAAAGCATTATGTTAAATATGTATGAGTTAGATCTTTGTTGTGGACATTTGTCGTACAATTGAATTGGAAGAACTTTGTCCTGAGTGTCGACTAACATTTCTTTTGGCATTTGCATATTGGATATATTTTGTTCAACATAATCTTTCTGCATTTCAAAGTAAGCAACAATGGATTGAAATATAGTAAAATGATTGCAACTTATAAAATTCCATAAATTGATGTATATAGGTATTTGATTACCAATATGGTTGCATCTTTGAGTTAAATGTCCCTAATCCCACTTCTTGGTTTTTACGAATTATAGTGTATCCAATTGCCACAATTAGTATCCAATACTAGAAGTGTCCAATGGTTTAGCTGTCCATCATCGCTTTCACCGGTTGAATTCATGGGAAATACGAGGTATTGACACTCTCTCCCAAGTAGGATGTTATTGTCAATTTCAGCTTCACGTGCATGAGCTAACCTTAGGGAAGTCAGCAAGGTCTACATATTTTGTGAAGTGGACGGTTAAATATGTCATAGATGCATATTTTCAAAGATTTTTAGTATTTCTATAATCATTCATTTCATTTCAACTTACCAACAACGACTGTTGAAGAAAAAACATCTCTTAAATGTTGATTGTTCATTGGCTTCATCAAGTTCATGCAACATATCTCCCCAATAGTATATGATATGTAATAATAAAACAAGGTTGAAAAAAGAAACATTTTCATAAAATGAAGGACAAAATTTAACCACTATAGTACGTACATTGTTGAAAAGGTCACATCCTCCCATCACTTTCAAAGTATCTTTGACATTTATGTAGCTTCCCACAGACATTTCGAATCATATTGTTGACCTACATAGTTATAATGCGATGATACTTAAAAAATGAAAGAGTAACAACATACACAAAAGAATGAAAACTAGCCCCAAAAAATAAACAAGATTCACAAATTAGTGAGAACATGAAATAAATGATACAATATACTTGCATAGTTCTTTCTGCTTGTTCAATCTGTCTTAATTTTTTGTATATGATGGATCCATTGATTGGAAAACTTTTAACAACCTTTTCATCTCCTTTTCACACTTTTCTTTCTCTTGCCTTGCTCTTGTCTTGTCTGATGAATCAACAATGGTGATAATGTCATTGGATGCTTCCATCTGTTCCTTAGTTTTTTTCTTCAAGTTGTACTCATAGACTGCATCCATTTTTCTCTTCCTCTCCTTTGCTTTCAACTTTCGAACCATTGATGTTTGACCCTTCTTCAAATCCGTTGTATCTCTTTTTCTTACTCAACTTCTTGTCCTCTTTTTTTTATAGCAGATTTGTTCTTTCCTTTATCTTCAGCACTATGTGGAAGTACTTTAGGAACATGAGTAGTCTCATATTTTTGGGTTATGACATGAACAAACAACTCATTAATCTGGTCTATCATCTCTTTATTTTCTACTTCAAGTCGTGTCATGATTTGTTTCAGTTGTACATTTTTAGCCTCGGATGTGTCCTTTTCTTTTCTCGTTTGTTCAGCCGAACCCTCAAGATCTAATATTTGTGTGTCACGATCAATCAATTTTCGTGACTTAAGTTTCCATGAAAGAATAAAATGACTGGTTGTCTTGTTACACTCCAGAATGTTGTGACAACAAAGAGTAACAAATAGTGAGTGTCACTAAATAGAGACAATCTCCTATTTTCATATAAAGAGTGACCCTAAATAGTGACACCAAATAGTTGCAACATATAGTGATATAATGAACAAAAGTTGCTTAAAAATTTGGGGTCATTGAAATAGTGCCATTAAATAGTGCATTTTAATGGTGTCATTAGCACAACCTAATCCATAGAAAGAGTGACACAAAATGGTAGCCCATATATAGTGACCCCAAATAGCTAAAATGTAATAGTTGAACTTGAATAAAATTATAATTCAAACCCACAAAGTACAAGTTTGATAAGTCTTTTATCAGTCTTTATATGGATTGTAAAAGTGTGATACCAAGAGTTAACAATACATAATTTTTTTAAAAATAACTTCTTAATAAAGTTGTTGTACTAGTTACCTGTTCACGCTCTTTGCTGACAATATTTCGTATGATTGTTCTATGAACTTCATTATCATTTGATAGCTTCTCAATTTTTTCTGGTTTGATTGATTTTCTGCCTCATCTCAGAAACAAGTCTCATAGCTTCATCTGTTTCTCTCATGATTTTCTCTTTTTCATTTTCATTACAAACAAACTGTTTAGAAGATTGTTTATGTGTTGAGTAACTAAGAATCACATAAACTAGAGCATCTAAAGGCCTCATTTACTGATTCTCTTCTCCAATATTATCCCCTCCATCATAA